TGATTATATGTCATAGATATGGCTGTTTCTTCAGACACTGCAAATCACTTAAATCGTCAGAATCAAGATTGTTACTACTGTGGTTGTGGTACTTGAATATAGAACCTTTATTTGAACAGGATAAATCTATGAGAAATTTTAAAATACTTATTAGAAAGGCATATTAATTTTTTTATTTGTGGTATGCACATAATATATATAAATGTGTATTAAATAGAACTCAAGAAAAGTAAAAATTTCTAATATAATATGAAAGCTTACCGTTATTTTCTCTTTAACATTGTGCACTTGTTAATGGCCCAGGCATATAAGTTTCTCATTGTAAAGATTGTATTTTTATAATATCAAAATGTTTATCAAGTAAGTGATTATATAATTTCGTAATCAGATAATCAATTTTAATCATTTCATTACACTCAAGACACTTCACCTGATTTTTATCCTCATCAAGCTCTTGAATATGGTCCCACATAAAACTCCTTTTAGAATCAGTTTCTAAATTTATATCATGTTTCGTAGATAAATGTTCCTTCAAACTAGTGCTTGAAGTGTGGGTCCGATAAATATTAGGACAATATTTACATTCAATGCGCGAATCGTCAATTTTATTAAAATGCAGCCATTTCGGATGAAGTTTTTTACTCATGTCTACATTTGGATGGCGGTTTTTGAAATGATGCCTCACGTGGGTCATATCTCAGTACATGAAAATTAAAGTAGAAAGGAGACACAATTTACATTTTGTCCTAAAATTATCCAATTTTTCAAAATTTTTCCACACCAATTCTTCTTCATCGTTCGGTGTAGACATTTCGGCCATTTTATGCAATAGCAATATCCAATAACTAAGTACGAAGAAAAAAGAACGAACGAGGCAACATAAGATAATGCTGTAAAATTTATAACAATTTCTAATATAATAAAATTAATAAAACTTACCGTTGCTTTTCCTTTATCGTTGTGTACTTGGTGATGGTCTACGCACAAAGTCTCTGTTTGTATATTTGTGTTGTGTTCTTCTACTGCGCGTGTGCCTAGATATCTTTCGAGCATGTGCGTGTTTATATGGCCCGCAGGACTAAGCTTTAACATCGGATCACACTCTTTACAGTAATCATCATGTTGCGTAATATGCTTTAATACGAAGCTTTAACAAGATGTGCCATTTTTTTCTAGAAGTATTTTATGTTGAGGTAAATACCTGATTAATGTTGTGATCGTATAATTGCATTCGTATAAATATGTTCACAAAAATTGCACTGCATGTGTCAATTACCATTCATAATATTGAAATACAGCAAATAAACTTTTTCTGTTTGTTATTATATTTGGATGAGCACTTTTCAAATGCGGATTAACTTTGCATATTTGGGAATTATCATGATTGTGGATATTATGAAATATAAAAATGCTGCAAGTATTAATATAGTAAGTCCAGTTTAGATAATTGTAATAAACATATTTGTATTCCTAATGTGTGTCATGATGATTTAATATATTAGACAATGCTCAGAAAATACATAACGTGAAAGCTCTTATCAACATCACAACATTAGCTATAGAACAGATAGGCGCCGGACATTACATACATCTTGATGTATTCTCTCTTCGAAATCGTGTAGAAAATAATGATATGTATAAATCGTAATATTAAACTCGTTTTTAGTAGTAATTCAAACTTTTTAAACTCATATATTTTCTTTTTCTACATTAGTACAAAGTTTTATTGAGATCATTTTCTGTTTGTGAGGTCCTCTAATAAGTGAAAAATAATAAGTAATTGAGTATTTTAACAAAATAATAATAAATAAAATAAAAGTATTAATTAAGTAAATCGTTAATAAAATAAAAGTAAAATAAATGTTTGCAAATGCATTAATAAGGATACAGATTGTTATAATTCTTGTATTGCATATTTTCTGCTTATCAAATATAAAAAATTTGACTATGAAGTATATGTGATATTTTGTTATTATTAAAACGATAAAAAAAGGAAATACGGAATAAATTTAGCGAACTTAACCGTAAATTAGTATATCGAATAGAAAGAATCAAAATACATTTATTTTAAAATGCTATCTTATTAATTATAATTTGTCAGCTTTGCACTGCATATGTTATAGCCAATTAGTCACACAATAATTTTAAAATCAGTACTAATCAAAAATATAAAATAACATATTCATTTTTATATAACATTTTGGGCATTATCACCACAAAAGTTATAATGTCAAATTCAAATTACATAAAACACGTAAAAAAGTGAAAAGATACATAAATAGAAAAACATTATAAAATAAAATAGCCGTCAATTATTTGGCAGTGTTAGTTAATAAATAGTTATTAAATTATACACGCAGGAAGTATGTTGTTCGTTAAATTGATTTACCTGTTTAACACAAATATTTTTTATAAAATATTATTATTACTTATGTATTAATTATATAAAAAGTAATGTCGACTTATATATATGCATCATTATTTATATATATATATGGTATATATGAAAGTAATCATAAAATTATAATTGTAATTGTATGTATATAAGTAATATTCTAATTACACATATCATAGATATGACATTCTCTTCAGGTACTGTAAATCACTTAAATCGTCACAGATTGTTACACAGATTGTAACATTAAGATTGTTACTACTGCTGGTCGTGGTGCGTGTATAGAACCTTTGTCAAATCTGAACAGGATAAATCCATGAGAAATTTTAAAATACTTATTAGAAAGGCATATTAATTTCTTTACTTGTGGTATGCACATAATACATATAAATGTAAATTAAGCATGACTCAAGAAAAGTAAAAATTTCTAATACAAAATGAAAGTTTACCGTTATTTTTTCTTTAATGTTGTGCACTTGTTGATGGCCCAGGTATATAAATTTCTTCTTGTGGAGATTGTTCTTTTATTAAAATATCAAAATGTTTCTTGTACATATGAGCATGTAAAGCATTCAGGAGCAAGTTTAATCATACAATCGCACTTAAGACACTTTACATAATCTTTATCTTCATCAAACTCTTGAATATGGTTCCATGTAAAACTCGTTTGTAAGTTTTTTTCTATATTTATATGTATTTTATGTTTCTTAGATAAATGTATCTTCCATGCTGTACTTGATGTAATCGAATAACTGCGATGACAAGTATTACATTTCATGCGCGAATCGTTAATTTTATTAAAATGCTGCCATTTCTGATAAAGTTTTTTACTTTTGTCTACATTTGGGTGATATTTGCTGAAATGATGATGCACATTGCCCATATTTCGGTACATCAAAATGATTGATTTATAACGTGGACACAATTTACATCGTGCGTGAAAATTCTTCAGTACTTTAAAATATTTCAACTCCCATTCTTTTTGATCGTTTGGTGTAGACATTCTGGCCGTCTTATACAATAGCAATATCGAATAACTAAGTAAAAAGAAAAAAGAACGAATAAGGCAACATGAGATAATGCATTACAATTTATAATAGTTTCAAATTTAATAATATTAGTAAAACTTACCGTTGCTTTTTCTTTATCGTTGTATATTTGTCGATGGTCTAGGCACATTGGTTTCTCTTTGTGTATTTGCGTGTGGTGTTTTTCGAGTATGTACTTGTTTATATGACCTGAAGAATTAAGCTTTAAGATCACATTGGATCTTTAAGATCAGCTTTAAGATCCAATCACACTCTTTACGGTGCGTGCAATAATCATCATGCTGTGTAATATGCTTTCATACATAAAACTCAAGCGAGATGTGTAATCTTCTTTTACAAGTATTTTATGTTGAGATAAATGCCTGATTAATCTTGTTATCTTAACTGTGTTCGAATATTAGTAATGAATAAATATTGTATTGCACGTGTAAATTTCCAATTACATTGAAATACAGCCATGCCCAATAAACTTTTCTATTTGTTTTTATATTTGGATGTCTACTTTTTAAATACGTATTTACATTGTTTTTTTTTAGATTATCATGATTGTGGATATGATAAAATTTAAAAATGTTGTAAGTATTAATATAGTAAGAATATAGTAAGAATTAGTTTATATAATTGTAATAAACGTATTTGTATTTCAAATATATGTAATAATGGTCTTCATACATTATAAAGAATGCTTTTAAAATATATAGTGTAAAAGCTCTTATCGATATCACGGCGTTAGCTATAGAACAGGTTGTAGCGAACACTACACACATTTTGATGTATGCTTTGTTCGCTAGCTGTAGAAAATCGCATCATTGCATTTTAATGTTAGAATGGTTTTTGGCTTCAACTAAAAAGTTTTATATTTATATATTTACCTTACTTACGTGTGTGCAAAGTTTTATTGAGATCAGAATTTCTGGGTTGACAATATTACCTTATAAAACGGAATTAGTAATAAGTAAAACAAATCATAATTTTTTTTAATAAGCAAATACAATTATTAGTTCATTATTTAAATATATGCATAATCGTGATAAAAATATCGCAAATTCAGCGAAATGTATTAAAATAGCAAATGTATTAAAATATTTATATCTTACATTTTTGAAGGAAACTTTAAAAATCTTTGGACTATTTTTGAGATAAATTGAGGTATGTTGAAGGATAAATTGAGATACGTTAAAGGGTAAATTGAGATAAGTTACTGAAAAGTAACGCAATTGAAAGAAAATCTTATTTTATCTATAGCTATAATGATACTATTTCTTTTCTTCTTTCACAAAGTTTGAAGATTTAGATTTTAAACCAATTTTTTTATTTAATAAAAGCATATTGTCAGCATATTTATATATTAGCAATAACCTATTTGCACATTATGTCAGGCAGATTTATGCCGCAACTGTTAAGAACGACGCGGATGGAAGACGAGTATTCTTCCGTACGCGGCGAAGAATTATTGCGCGCTCACTTGGGAAGACATTCTTCACTTTTGTAAATACGGGAATTCGCGAGGGCCGTTTTCGTTGCGCGTGCAATATTGCTATAACCGCCGCAGCATATATCTGTACGACGTTATTTATGTATTTATATCAACATAACATTTATCACAGCATCCATACCTTGTCGAAATAATTTTTGTCGTAAAAATATGTCCGTGAAGCAAAGTTCTGTTTGCATAATTTCTCCTCTCCTTACTTTAACTTTTTTTTTTTATCCAAGAGAGCAATTGTGCTCAATTTCACGGAGTCTCTCTGTCTCTGTTTGTCCGCTTGTTTGCCCGGACATCGCGCAAAAAATGAACTGGTTCTGACTGAAGTAATTCTCGCGAAACTTGCAGCGCGTATCTTATGATCAATTTAGAACTTAGATCTCAAACTTGGATGCCATATCAGTGATTCACTTGGCAGAAGCTGATGTGGGAAGGACATCGACATCAGCAATATCGCTTGTCAGTGATTTTATCAGATTACGAGCCAGATTTCCCCCGTCAGAAATTTCCACTGTTTATTATAAAATCGTATTAAGTTTCTGACATTTTAGCAGAGGTGCATTTCGCGTTATTGTGCGAGAGCGCAAAAACGCATTTTTCGGGCTTCGTAAATCCGGGGATCTTCTGCCCGCCGAGATAAGAGCGGTAGCTGGGGTAAGAGAATTCAAAATCGCCGTGCCAACACGGCACTTTTGGTCTTACGGAAGCACGTATATCCCGGTGTGCGCATGCCGGCGAATATTTATGCGTTTCCATGCGCTCGCCTACGACTGCATAAACCACAGCACGGTCACTTTCCCGCCGCGGCGGATGCATAAAGCATCGGGACACGCGCGTGTTTTTATGTTCATCGATTTCGGAACGCATATGTTCCTCCCGGGGACGATACCTGTTTCTGTTATACGAGTTCTACATTCGACCCTCGTACGCCGCGGCGACCGGCGAAGTGCCGGAGAATCTGCAACGAGTGTATTCCCCGATGCATTTGCGAGCGAACTTTTTTTCAGAGAAAAGTTAAAAGAAACATTTAATTCGTTGCAAAGTTACTTAACGTTGAAAATGCGAGACTGCAGGCAAAATAGCGGGCGGAAGGGGGGGGGGAAAGACTTTTATTGCAAGTGGATTTTATTTGGAGTTGTCGATAGACGTCTGCTTCTTCTCTTGGCTTTTACCGATAATAAGTCGCGCTGCTCACGACTGAGAATGATCGAACTTGCCAAAGGGACTTGGCGTCCATGAGCCTTTCATTTTTCCGATGCAGCTGCACAGGCAGCCTTCACCGCGTCCCTCGATCGAATACCGTTATTAAGTAATATCGAGAGATTTCGCCGGACGGTTCGATGCGTCGATAAAATTTTCATTTCGCGGTTCGCTGCTCGCGCTCGAGCCAGCCTAACGAAATCCGTCTCGAAAGTCATCCTTTCGTGGCTGTCCTATCTCGCAGGCTCCTTTCATGCCGCCGGACATATTTGTCAGTTAGACCAGATCTGACTTACCAAATTTCTTCAATTTCTGGTTCCTTATTCTTATTGCATGTAAATTAAAGGACGGTAAAATATCAATCGTCTAATTAGCAAATAAGATTATTTGTTTAGTTCAACGCACAAAATTTTGAACAAGTGAATTATATTAAGAGCAGAAAAGATTTCAAGGCTTCGAGTACACGGGCGATTTGAAATAAGTAAAACAATAGCGCCGCTATCGCGACTGCTTTCGCTCGTGTACCAAGATCTAATATAAATATATAAAAAATCGGAGATGCTACTCGATCGCGCTACTCAGTGGCGCGATTTAAATCGCCCGTGTACTCGAAGCCCAATTATAAAGACATCGTATTATAAAAGCAATTAAAAACGCATTTGTCTTTTTGGATATCGAGTGTCGCGAGACGTTCTTATTCAAACGTGATTGTTTTCTTTAAAATCACAAATCCTCATTAGTCTTTCGCCTTACAAAGCGACATTTAATTTAACGGTCTCATAAAAAGGTAACGTATGGTCGGTCGGCTATAACTCACGAGAAATGTGCTTTTAACGATCGAACAATATTTAATCAAGATGGAAAAACGATGTCAGAATGCGCGATCCGTTAGATAAGTCCCGCAGAAAGTATTTTTGAATATTAAACCATTTTTTATTTTAACATTTTGCAGTGCACGATTCGTGCTGCAAAAAATTATTTTAATTATTTTAAGTGTTTTAATTACATCTATTTTTTATATTTAAATATATACATTAGTTTTACCATCACACACAAATATATGCCGCATTATTACATAATGTTCCGCGTTTTAACTCACAATCAGGATAAAATTCAACAGCTTTTCACAACATCGTTATTCTTAAACTACATTTGCAAACATAAATCTGATCTTTGCGCAAATATTTTATCTTTAAATATGTAAATATAAAGAACGGAATTATATTGCACCGGGCATGTAGAAATAAGGAAAATATGTATGTTACATAAACAAACAAGGAGAAAAATATTTTAACAAATATCGTTCTTCAAATAATAATTGAGATTATTGATTTAAGAAAAGATGAATTACACGGCTAACAATCCGCAAATTTTAAAATACATTTCAATAATATCGTTCCTCATATCTTGCCGTTTTTTTATTGCCATTCAGAAACATTCGCGATACGCTCAGTTGCGCGTTTTGTTGGGAAATGCAGTTCTCTCGTTAGGATTATATTCTCTTGCTTTTCCATCGAAAAACAGAGTTTCACTCTCAGAAGTCTGCCTTGCAAATTGTTCGAAATGCTAGCGTATTTTTTGATCATTTTCTGTTACCATGAACGCGCGACGTGCACGCGTCAGCGTTGGAGGAAAAAAACATTTTTCGCGAGAATTTTACTCCGCGTTCCGACCGATTCGCGCGCCTGGTCAAAGGAAACCGCATAACTTCCGCCTGAAAATTGCACACGGGCCAAATGCGTTGCTTAAAAAATGGAGGTCGAGCGCTATTGAGGTAGATTTCGGTTGCATCGCAGCGTTGAATAACGAACACAAAGACTACGCGCTTCGGCGCGTGCACTGAATCTTTGGAGATGAGCTAGGCACGGTTGATCAATTGTTGCACCGCTACGGCATGCATGTTTGACTTAACAAAGGCCTAATGATCCAATTAAAAGGAGATTGCCCGATTGGAAACTGGCTGGAATCCGATCAAAATCGCTTGTGGTAACGATCCGAGTATCGATACCGCTCGGCCTATAATACGTTCGTAATCTGCCTCCGGATATCCGCGGTTATCGAGCACCCAATAGCTTATCATCGCCGTTCATTAAACGAGTGCACCAAGCAGAAACATACTCGGCGCTGAAATGCGCCACCGAGACGCGAGGAGTTCTTTTTTTTCCTCAGCAGGCTTAAACTTTATCTCCCGCGTTTCGTCAGTTCGCTATCATGCAGCTTTGTCGCCGAGCATTTAATTCCACGAGGATTAAAGTATAAATGGCTGCTACCGTCTCTTTATCTTACAATTTCACGCGCCTCGCGCTCACATAACTGCGAAGTTTATCGTTCCCGCGAAATTACGCGGATGCGAATGCCGGCGGTTACACGAGTCGAAATTCGTGGGCGAAACATTCTACGAATCCGACCGCCCATTGCCGGAAGCCAATTACGAGATGCAAACTGT